CCGCCCGCCTGCCCTCCTTCCCTCCCGGGCATCTGACCCGCTGCCCTGTCCTTTGCAGGACCGCTCGCGCCATCAGGTGCCCGTGAACATGGCGGCGGTGATGACGCTTCTGGAAGACTGGTGCCGGGGCATGGATCTGGATATCCACAGGGCCCTGCTGGTCACGGGCATCCCGCAGGACTGTGGCCAGGTGGAGATTGAGGAGACCCTGCGCGTGTTCTTCACCCCGCTGGGCCCTTACCAGGTGGTCAACAAGATCTTTGTGCGGGAGGACAACGCCAAGGCCGTCCTGATCGAGATGGGGGAGGGCGTGAACCTGAGCACCCTCCCCCGCGAGGTCCCCGGCCGCGGGGGCACCTGGCGCGTGGTCTGCAGAGACCCCACCCAGGACGCCGAGTTCCTGAAGAACCTGCACGACTTCCTGGAGAGCGAGGGGCGCACCGTGGAGGACGTCGTGCGCCTGCTGGAGCTCAGCAGCGGGCCCCCGCGCGCCGCCGCCGCCGCCCGGAACCTGCCCCAGGAGAACTGGGCCGAAGCGCTGGGGGTGCTCCTGGGCACGGTGGTGCAGGTGGTCTTCCACATGGACGCCGAGATCCGCCACCGGGAGGAAGCCCGGGCGCTGGAGATGGCCGAGGCCGAGGCCGAGATGGCAGCCTGGGCCGCCGAAGCGGGACGGAGGGTCAAGAAGGAATCGGGGTCCGCGCCCGGGGCGGCCTGTGCCCTGAAGGCGGAGAACCCCAGCGGCTGGTACAACGGGGCCCCACAGGGGCCCCGGCCCGTGGCACCCAAGGCGAGGGCGAAGAACTCCCCCAGGAAGAAGAAGCAGAGCAAAGCCCCCAAGCAGGAGCCCATGTTCTGGAAAAAGCCCAAGGGCGGCCTGGCCAACGGCGCAGCCTGTGCGCAAGAGGCCGAAGCGCCGGAGGCCGAGGGAATGGAGACCTCAGAATGCACCCGGGCCAGCAAGAAGGCCCCCGTGAAGCAGGAGGAGGCCACCCCGAAGAAGCCAGGGGCCAAGTGTGCGCGAAAGGTCCGCCGAGACCCACCCCAGGGTGCCCCGGCCGAAGCCGAGAGCCTGGGTGGCGTCTCAGAACCAGACCAAGACGGCAGCCAGGAGGTCCCACCGAAGAAGAAGGCCATGGGATGTGGCGCAGCCAAGAAGGTGGCCCCCATGAAGAAGAAGAAGAAGGTGAGCCTGGGCCCCGTCTCCTACGTCCTCGTGGATCCCGAAGAGGCCAAGAAGCCGCCGATGAGCCCGGAGAAAGGTCTAGGCGCCAGGAAGGATGTCGCCGTGCAGAAGGGCCCCAACGACCCAGAGCCCGACCCAGAGCCCGCACCGGCGCCCACCTCGGGGTCACAGGACCCCGAGGCCGAGGGCTCTCCCCAAACCTCCAATGGCCAGAGTGATCGCAAAAATCATTTAGAGTGTGTGGCCAAGTGGATGATGTGGGAAGAGCAGGAGTGGGAGGTGGAGGAAGAACCCCCCAAGGGGGAAGAGGCAGTGGGTCCTTTGGAGGAGGGAGGCCACAGTGCACCGGAGGGGGAGGAAGAGGAGGAGGAGGAGGTGGTGGCTGAAGCTGCTGATGCCACAGGCAAGGTTCCGGAAGCTGAGAACCCCTTTCTTCCTCCTGGGAACCCCTGAAGGCCACCGTGGTGGTGGTGGTGGGGTCCTGGGGTGGGGAGGCGCAGGAGGTGGCCCCAGCAAACCCACCCACCGATCCTTTATTGTCCAGTGTCGCTGTGATGGCCTCGAGCCACTTTATCTGACCCATCTCCCTTGGGGAAAAAAAATCTCATGGGTTGGGGTTTTATTGTTTATGGGGTGGGGGGGTGTTTGTTCCAAGAGGAATCCTTGGGTTCTTAGTTCATGTCTGCCCCGCCGGACTTCGTAAGAACGGTAACTGGCTTGGGGTTTTTTTGTGTGGCGGTTTTGTTTTGTTTCTCGCCAGAATCCAGGAGGTTTTGGTTGAGCCGGGGGGACACTCGGCCAGCAGAGTGGGAGAAAGGGGTAAAAGGCTGAGAAACTGGCGCCAAGGCCGGATGTTTGTTATCCTTGAACGGAAGGGTTCTCCATTCAGCGACCTTGTTTGTGGGCAGATGTCCTTTGAAGTGGGAGGAATTTGAGGGGGAGGGAGGCTCATGGCAGCCATTTCGAAGAGCCAGGCAGACATGTTGTCCTTCCACCTTGTCAGGGCCGGGAGATCAGCCAGGAAATTATCTGCAGACCCGACTCTTGTGTCCCTCCCACGTTTCATCTGCATCTTCTTATCCATCCAGAGGTGGGAAGGTCCCAAAGACTTCCTTTGGAGGAAACAATGTCCATTAGACGTGGAAGGCATTGAGTTTTAGGATACACGATTGGTGAGGGGGGGGGGAAGGATTAAGAACAGTGGTTACCCTGGTTTCCATTTGGGGGTGAAGCTTCTTCCAGAAGCATCGGGGGAAGGGGCAGTGGGAAGAGAAGAATTGAGGCCTACCTAGGTTACCCCAATCCCCTTAGTCTTTCTCACAAGATAGCAAAAGAGGGTGGGGCAGGGGATCTTAAAGCACTTAGCTGTTTATTTCTGTTTTCTGAATAGTTGACAAATTAGACCACCATTCTAGCCGTTAAGGATGGGGAGTGGGTCAGAAGTGCAGGTAACCCCAGCCCCATATTTTTGAAATTGTACCCAAGGGAACCAACTGTCCTGGCCCCCCCCTCCCCCCAAGGGTTCCACAAAGATTGCACCCGCCTCTGGTTCTTTTTCATATATTCATCAAAAGTGGTGAGAAGTGACCACGCACCAAACTGTGCCACAGCAGACACCAAAATGCCCCTCATGTGCATAGGCTAACCTGTTGTGTTTTTTGTATAAGTCGAATTCTTGTTTTGCCACCTGCTCTTGGCCTCCAAGTGAATTTCATGTCCGTGGCGTGACTGATGAGGAAGGGAGAAGGGGTGAGCTTCAGCCTCATGCACGTCCTTGTAATTACCCCTGTGAACGCCAGGCAACCTGTCTGTACTATGCGCTCCTGCCATGCTGTGAGTGTGCTGTTAACAAGTAATCACTCCTCAATAGTTCTAGCCTTGGGGTGGGGGGTGGGAGGGTGGGGGCCTCTGTTCTGACCTCTGTTTCTGTGATCCAGAATGTGAACTGTTGGTTAGCTTTTGTTTGAGATTTAACTCTGAAACCCAAATGCCTGGGGCCACCTTTAAAGAAGAGCCGGCTGAGTTCAAGTGAAGAGGGGGAGAACAAGGTTTCCAGCTGCAGCTACGAGTCCGTGGGCACCCCACAGTTCCTGGGGCTCGTTGAAGCAAATTGGACTCGCCAGGTGAAGCCAGCCCGCAGCCGCCAGCTCCTGATTCCAAAGTCGAGTCGGCGCAGGCATCGGTGTGTTAATGGTTGTACCAAGCTCCAGTAAAATTTGAATGTCTTAGTCACAAAATAAAGTTGAGTAAATGTAGAGACGGTTTGCTTTTCTTTCTATTGGGGGGTGGGAGGTGCCCTGGAAGGCACAAATGCCTTACGCTCAGCACTTGGGCTGCCAACCAAGAGACTGGCAGGTGGAGCCCATTGAGGTGCCTTGGAAGAAAGGCCTGGTGATCCCTGGCAGGAAAATTAGCCATTGGAAACCCTGCAGAGCACGGTTCAACTCTTGACAAGTGAAGCCCTGCAGTGAGTTAGAAGGTGCATCCTGGCAACTGGTTCCCATGGTGGTAGGTGGGGAGGGAGGTTGGTCTCCCAGGCCTAGTGCACAGGGCTGTTTGGTTTGAGAGGCAAGCAGCACCCACTGCCTGAGTCGCCCAGCCAGCCTTGAGTGGTTGTCAGCCCTGGGTGGTCGTCAGCCTTCCACGGGAAGGGAAGCCACTGAAATGGCTCCGCCGGGTTGCAGTGGCCTTCCTCCGTTGTGAAAGGCTCTTCCACAAGGAGGAAGCTTCTCCCACCTTCCAGAGGTTTCCAGAACAGGTAACAGATGAAATGACCGTCGCCAGACCTGGGTGATTTTCAGCCCTGCCCGGGATCGGAATCCGTTGAAAAGGGTTCTCCTTTTGGCTGGGGCCTTTCCTCTGGTGTGAAAGGTTTTTCCACAGGCCTGGGGGGAGCTTCTCCCACCTTCCAGAGGTTTTTGGAACAATAACCGATGGCATGGCATGAAAGTAGTTACTTGTTTATCATCAAAGCAACTGGACAAGGAAAAATATTCTTTCCTCTCCGGAGACAGAACTGAGGGTCTGACTAACAGTTTCTGCCTTCCCCCTTGAGCTGCCCCCTAGCTAGGATCTGAACCAGGGTGGGTCCCTAAGTCACCATTACCAGGGATCTTTGTGGAAAACATCTGGGCCCTGCCACGAAGTGGGGGTGGGGGGCCATGCCTGCATCTCACACACTTGCTCAGGAAACTTCCTACCGGTGCAAAGGCTGACGAGTTCTAGTTGGAATCATCCCTGTTCGGGGGGAAAGGCCTAGGGGTTTGGGAAGGGTGGTTGAAGATGATCAGAGACGGACCGTACGCACAAAACCCAAGGAGAAAACTTGGATTTGAGGATGGCGGTATCAGGCGCGGGGAGTACACATCACAAAAAATAGAAACAAACCAAACTGCCTGTGAGCCAATTCCAACCCACAGCTACCCTCACGGAGGGTGCAGGGCTTTTCGGGGAGTAGAAAGCCTTATTGTTCTCCCGTAGAGTGAGTGGTGGTTTCAAACTGCTGACCTTGC